CAGCTCCGTATGCCTGTGAAGACCCTTTCTTCAGATGTGTCATCCTCACAGATGTCCGGGGAGACACCTCTGCAGACAAGTGGGGGCAGAAGACAAGTTTCTGGCCCCTTGTGGCCGAGCTCCAGCCCCTGACTTCATACCCTGTCCTTGGCAAAGTCTTCACATCAGCTGCCTGCTGGCATTCGCACCACAGCCCTCCCCAGGAGACGCTGGAGTCACAGCATCCCATCTCCTGGACAAGAAAACTGCGCCCAGATCTGTGCCAGTCAGACCAGGGCAGATAGCGTCCTCCCACCTCTGTGTCACTGTCCTGGTTGGATCAGATGGAGTTCCTGCCGTACAGTACGGGCAGGGGTGATGATGCCAGCCTCTCCCATCACTCCTCTGTCTGGAGCCATCATTGCATGGTTTGCCTCAGTCCTGTTATCATCTGAAGAACACAGGAAAAGGAAGTACTGCCAGGAAGCCCAGTTCCCCGCTGGCATTAGGACCGGCACACGCTCTGGGATGTGCTGAACAGAAAGTGCCTGCGAGAACGAAGCTCACCACCGAGTCCTCTGCTACTGCCTTCCCGGAATCGCAGGAGTCCCTGAGAGGTTGTCTGCAAAGAGTTGCACTGAGTGCCAATGAGAGACACACGTTGTAAAAGCGAAGCTAAGGAGCGTGCTGGGCAGCTTTACAAGGCTTTGCCTGGAAATCCAGATCTCCAGAGATACTAGGGAGTCAGTGATGCTTGGCAAACCTGCGGTACCGAGCACAGTCTGCACAAATGTGATACTGAGCTGTGCCTGCCCAGAGGGATCTACACGCCTCAACAGCCTTAGTCAGCCCTCAGCCTCCATCGCTGAGCTAATGTGGGTGCCTGCAGGCAGCCGCAGACAGCACGGCTTTGATTTCAATCAGTTTCTTCTGTCTAGTCTGAGATCGGCGCGTTCTGTAACTCACCAGGGCCAAGGCGCGATGGCTTTGTAGGGATTTAATGTGCTCTGAGCATCCCGTGGGGAGTGTCTGGGGTGGCATCTGGTCCCCAAATCTGTTACAGCGAGTTACAGACATGTCCGGGCAGCAAGACAGAGGTCAGTTCTCAGGAACAGCACGGGGGATTTTTAACCTGCCTTCTTAAACAATCCTGGAGGTGAATGTTCTCCTCATGTTCTCAAATATTTGAACAACGTGATACAAATAATATTAATCATACAAATAAATAAGAGAGCAAATTAGCATAATTTTCTCCTCGTACTCTTAGGAGTAGACAGGTAATCACTTTGAAGAAATTGGATATTTTATCCACAGATTTCAAACATTGGTCAATTAGAACATATTGATTTGCCTAGAAAATGTTTTTCACGTCGCAGAAAGATTTTTTCATTTTATTTCCCAGTGACAGCTCTGCTAATACTGTCCTATTATTTATTTTGCAAATAACCCCCAACAGAGAAGATTAATGAGTATATCCATTATCACCCATGAATACAAGTAATTTTCAATGACATTAAGGTCTCATGTTTTTAAAAAATTAAATGCTTATATGCTTTTGGAAAGAAAGTTAGTCCACATGGTGAGATATCCCTGTATCTTCAATATGAGAGCCTGAATGGTCAGCCTTCCAGTGCAGCAAGGGACCAAAACATTCTTCACAAAAATGCCAAATTATAACACTTGCTTTTACAGGAGTGTCGAGGCCGATTTATGGTCAAGATGTTTATCATTGGGTTTCCTTTTTACTCAGTTCATGGTGTGAGGCCAACATTGAATTAGAGTGTGTTTCATTACAGTGTCGCTGGGGTCATTTTGGTGAATTACATGCTGCAGGGCTTAATGAAATTGTGTAATTACTCGCCGTCACATAATAGGGTAAGGATGCCCTGAGAAAGCCAAGGAGAAAATGCCAGTGGGCTTTGAGTCATAAATACCGAGTGGCATGCCAGTGTGCGCCGGCATGGGGCTGGCGAGTCCCCAGGAATAAAGTCATCCTTCCTCTCGTTCTGGGAGAAAGAACAGTAGAAAAGATGGCACTCTGAAAACTTGTACGCTCCCGTAAATTGTATGAAATCTATTCTCAGTGCCCTTCTTGTTTTGGCTTGTCCTTTCCTTCTGTTTCCCTGGTTATCCTCTTCAAGAGGCTGAACTTGAGGCCTTTTCTCAGGCTCTGGGTTCAAGCCCATCTGAAAACGCACTGTGCCAGCCAGGGGTCACGCCCTCGCTCAGCTCACCATGGCTTCTCACCCAAGGGCCTGGCGGTGCTGGGTGAGGGAAGCTTGGTGGACAGTGCGAACTTGTAGGAAGAAAAGGAAAGCAAGGAGTACTTTGCAGAAAAGAACCAAGAACTGTAGATGACTTGAGAGTCAGAGAGTGAGGAAGATTTGTGCCAGAGATTCATGATTAAGATAAAAAACACCTGCTAGATACCTTGTGATAGCCCCAAACACATCAAACGCAACACGCCTGAAACCAAATCTATCATCTTTTGCACCAAACTATATTTCCCCATACATCATTTCACTCTTTTTGCTATATAACAAAATACCTGAAGCAGGCAAGCATTGCCAAGGAAAAGGTTGGTTGAGCCTCACAGTGCTGGAGGTTCAAAGTCCAAAAGGCATAGACAGCATTGTGGTGGCAGATGAGGGGAATGTGCCCATGCACTGGGATCAGCACCTCCCCACCTCCCAAGCAGGGAACCAGTGGGAGACTAGACCCTGTGTCCCTCCTGAGGATGTGGCCCTGGCTGAATCCCATCACCTCTCACCACCACACTGCAGGTCAGGTGTCCTACATGTGGACCCTTGGGACACACTGAAGCCAGTCCCAAACCGTAGCATGGCCCCACTGCCCTCCCGGCTTCCCAGACTCAGCCTGGGCACGGTGGACCCGACCTTCCGCCTGTCGCTGATTCTGAGGTCGTCACCCCTGGCCACCTCTACAGCTCATCCTGGCCTTCCTCTCGCCCATCCTGCCCATCTGTCCCCCCTGCTCCCCCAACACCCATCTCTCAGCTCCAGGTCTGCACAGTCCAACCCTGCTGTGGCCGGAGCTGTTCACCTGGAAGTCACGGAGCCTGAGGAGGCCAGGAGAGCAGGGCACTTGCCCCTGCATGCGGCACGGGGGCCCTTGTTATGCAGAGCTCGGAGTGAGCGTGGTGGGAAGCCAGGGCTGGAGCCTGAGCAGTGCCCCTCCCCATTCAGCAAAGACAAGAGAATGGGCTGGGGACTGTGACATTTAGAGCTCAACGTGGGCACTGTCACAAAAATGCCCATCGTTCTTGTGAAATTCAAGTCCAGGGCTCAGGAGAGAGCAAGGTGGAGAGGAGAGATATTTCTAAAGAGATGAGGTAGCCCAGCCCTCCCAGAGAGGCTGAGGGCAGGCCACAGGGGAACTGCGCTTAGGAGGTGCAGCGAGAAAAGGATCCTGCGTGGGAGAGTGGAGAGGCAGAAGACAGGGCACAGGGAGAGATCGGGAGGTCACAGGGCCACTGAGTGCTCAGGAGCAAGAGCTGAGCTGCGCCAGACGCTGCCGTGGTGCAAGCAGGAGGACCAAGGAGCCACTGCAGAGTGTGGTGGCCAGCGCTGGGCCGGACCTGCAGTCCAATGACACCATGACCAATAGCATAGAAAGCAGGGCTGTTCAGGTTCTGCAGGAGGCAGATGCCAAGACAGAGGGGACGCAGCAGGGGCTGACTGGGGACACCCGGGAAGACTGAGGAGGAGGAAGGAGGCAGAAGTGATGACCCCATCTCCCCGGAGGAGAGGCAGAGGCCGGTCCCCACCGTCAGCCAGCCTTTCTCCCCAAAGTGGGTGCTCTTGAGGGAGCCCTGGAGGTGGGTTGCCATGGCACCCTTGAAGCCAAAGTGAGAGAGGGATGCTGACAGGAAGCGGAGAGGCCGGTGCTAGTTCTAAACTGTTCTTACGTTTGTACCAGCACAGGAGGGAGGCACAGCGCAGTAAGGGGGCCACACAGGGTGGTGTCTCCCCTGCATCCCTCCCAGACAGCTGTCCAGGAGCCCGCCAAGCCCACAGAGCTCTGCAGATCGCCCTCCCCAGCCTTTCCCTGGCATGCCTGGGCCTGTCCCCAGGGCCAGTGCTCCCGGCACTCGCAGTCACACTCAGGGTCGGGTGGCTATGATGTGCACCCAGCGCACACATGGCTGTTGACGTAGGCTTTCCTTGGCTACGGTGTTTCGATCTTGTTAGCTCCATTTCTCCGGTTCAGGTACAAAGGATGATCCAAAATTAAGGTGTGTGCTTAAATAAAAAATATCATTACAGTAAAAAGCAGGTTGCCACGAATCCCATCAAATTCTCCTCCTTTCTTCGGACATATTCATCCCCTCATTCTCACCACATTCTGCAGCAGCTCTGGAGTCCCCTTTCCTCAGTGTCTTTACAAGATGTGACCAAAAATATGGTGAGTGCTGCTGCTGATGCCGTCCATCAGAAAGGTGGCTCGTGAAAACAAGATGCCATGTCCTCATCCGCCTGATTCACGGAATCTGGCACCCTACAACCTCTGGCTGCCCCCAGAGTCAAAATGAACCGCGAAAAGGTGAATGTTGTAAATCGATCCAGGACATCAAGGCAGGGAGGACGGCACAACTAAAGACACCCAGGAAAGGGGACTGCAGAGCTGCTGCACAACGTGGCCAGGACAGTGGGACAGTGTGTTCCAAGTGAGGTGGGGGATTCCGAGGTGGATGCATGGCAGTGTGTCTCTTACTGTGATACATTTTTAAATGTAAACATTCACATATTGTTTGAGCGTGCCTCATATGTCACGGAAGAACCAAATGAAAATGTATAGAGAAGCCAGTTCCTCATGTGCACGGGAATGAGGTGCTAGACTTCCACCTGCCTCAGTGGTGAGAGCTAGCAAGTGTGTTGGAAAGGGCCCCAGAAGCAGTGGCCACTTCTGTTGCTGAACCCGAGGGCCTGGCACCGGCATACTGGGTCGTCCGCGAGGGCCCCGCCTGAAGGAAGCCGCTCACTCTCTGTGTTTTTTTGCAGGCGACCTCATCCATCTGCCTCCGTACCTTAGAATGGACTTCCTGTTAAACCGAGCTGCGCCAGGCACCAGCAGGGACCTGACTTTAGGACAAGCGTGCTTGGAGCCTCAGAAAAGTCGGACCCTGAAGCGCCCCACGGTCCTCGAGCCCATCCCCCTGGAGGCTGCCTCCTCCACCTCCTCCACGAGAGAAGGGCAGTCATGGCAGCAGGGGGCCGTGGCCACATTACCTCAGCGAGAAGGGGCCGAGCTGGGACAAGCGGCTAAAATGAGCAGCTCGCAGGAATCCCTGCTCGACTCCCGGGGCCACTTGAAAGGGAACAATCCTTACGCCAAGTCTTACACCCTGGTATAACACACAGCATGGTGGACGGCAGTTGTAAATACAATTTAAACAGTTCAATCAAAGCTACCTTTTTTTTACGGAATTCCAATATTTATAATTAAAGAAAATTGCCAAAATATATTAAAAAAAAAAAAAAAAAAAACAGAGAAAATACTGAAACCACAGACAGTGCAAAGACTCTCCTGCTTTTTTCCGTCTAAGTGCAAGCTCCATCCGTCTGGGCATCTGATTTTTTGGGAAAGAAGTCCAGTTTTATGATCCTCACAGGCTATTGCGTTTTTACTGATTTTCTACAAAGTGCATGGGGACGAATTAAACCTTCTGACTGGAAGTTCTATCACAGAAGAGTCGAGAAAGGAATCGGGGAGATTAGCCTATTTGTGAATTTAAAAGGAACGCTGATTTGGGAGCGGGGACAGCTCTCCTCACGTCCGTCCGCACACCTTTCTTTCCCGTTAGAAACCCGGTCCTCCATCTGATCTTTTGTTGTTAATTAGGATGAGTGCCGTCAGTGAAGGGGGTGGGGGGAATCAGTTTGGTTCTCTTTTCTGTTTATTTTTTAATTTGATGAGACACTCTTTGCATTTTGTCTAAGCGAAATAAAAACGAAAAGGTGGTCTGCCTTTATTTCCATGTCTGCGCCTCTCCTCTCCTGCTGATGCTCGGCTCTCCTTCCTGTGCACGCTTGTGTTTGGTGCTCGCGAAGGTTAACAAAGGAACGAGAAGCCGAGGCCCTGAACTCCGCAGGTGCGGCTGGGAAGAGCAGAGAGGGCGCTGCTTCTGCTCTTGGGCCGCAGATCGCAGAAGCAGGCTGGTCTCCACCACCAGAGGGCTGGCCCGGGGAGTTCTAAGTCCTTGGGAAGCCTCTGATCCTTGCCTAACCACAGCAAGCTGCCCAAATCCAGCTGACTGCTGTTTCCATGAGTAAAGCTTTATTAGAAGAAGGCCAAATGCCACATGCCCCTTTTGCATATTATCTGTGACTGCACGCAAGCCACCGTGGCTGGGCTGAGTACTTACAGAAGAGAGAGTATGGGTACAAAGCCTAAGCTGTCCACCATCCAACCCTTTACGGGAAGCAGTTGCTGATGACACGCGTAGCCCCAGGCCACATGGGAAAAGAAGAAGACCGTGTGGCTGGCATTACATGTGCCACAGGCCATGTTCGCATGTGTTGCCACCGATCCGCTCCTCTGTCCCCAGAGGAGAGCTTGTCGCTAGCAGTGGCGTGCCTCTGATCTGGGTTCTGTCTTCCTTCCTCTGCATTTCAGTGGTTCACCATGCGGCGCTCACTGGCGGAGTGTGTCCTAAGCAGAGGGAAACGCAACCTGCTCCCGTCCCCCTTGCACAGTGTGTTTAGGCAGAGCTCGTGGTCAACTCCTAAAGCCAGCTTCCCACTTCAGCTCCTTCTCTGGAAGGAAAGGACAACCAGATCCCTATGTCAGAGCTGTGGGCCTGACCAGGAAAGGTGACCCAACACTCGTGCCTTCTGGGGTGACACAGGACATGAGTTCTTCTAGCGGCCCCGGCTGTGGCTGGCTCCATCTCAGAGCACACTCAGATTCCTACTTCTTCGTCTCCCGCTCCCTGCCTTCCCTCTCTCTCTCCAACCCTTCTTCCTCCTCTGTATTTTTCTGTGGGACTATTTTCCTGCTTAGAGACAAGGAGCCCCAAGTAAACAGGTCCTAGATCTAGGGGAGACCTCTTGCCAGCCTGAAAAGTAGATGAGTCCCTGCACACGAGGGGTACGTTTCTTTTTTTGCCATAGTTTTAGAATGTAATACACACTGACAGTTTATTGTTTGGGTCCCCACAGACTGCTTTTTTATGCAAGAGAAATGAAAGCCTAGTTCTGAGAAGAGTTCGAGATCTATATTTCATCCATCTGAAACTGCTCTATTCCCTCCACTTAGAAGTTTACTTTTTGAAAATTTTTCTCTCGAGCTGTACAAAAATAAAAACCTCTACCTTACGTCTGCCTCTGGAATGAAGTGCTTTCATAGGACAATGTCATCACTAGTGAAATGAGTTCTACATGCAAGCATTGCATCAAATGTTCCCCGCTGCCTTCTCGGACAGGGCACCGCTGCTGCTGGCTGCAGGGGTGCAGAGCTGTGTACCGAGGTGTGAGCACAAAACATGGTAATGTTCACACTAAAAATGTACCACAGTAAATGACAAATTGCCACCAGTTCCCCTCAAAGCCCCGCCTCTTGCTTCAAATACCTTTCCCCGTCACTCTTGCCACGTCCTGCAGCAGCTCTGGAGTCCTCTTTCCTGAGTGTCCTTAGTTGCGCTGTCCTGGCTGCCTCGATGTCCTGAAACCATTCAAAACGTTGACCTCCCATGATCATTCTGAGTAAGACCCAGACACCACACAGTGCTAGATCTGGAGAATAAGGTGGATGAGGGCACAGCAGTATGTTTCTTCAAGCTGGCTTTCTATTGGGTGGCACTCAGCAGTAGCATTCCCTGTATTTATGATCACGTCTCAAGAAGATGTTCAGGAAAGAAGACTCCAGAGCTACTTTCCAGAGCTGCTTCACAAAGTGGCAAGAACCATAGACTGAGTTGTGTGTGTTGGGGGAGTGGTGGATTTTGAGGAAGATTTGTGGAAATGTGTCCCTTCCTGTAATAATTTTTGGAACTGTAAACATTCACTGTATATTTTGATCCTACCTCATATATTGGAGGTGCAGTGTATATTTTAAAGACGATTTTTCTTTCCAAGATCATTCTTGAGCATGAGAATAGTGAATCTCCTCTGAATCTCTGCCTGTCTAATCCAGTTTATCTGGGGCAATCATCCCATTAGCCCAAGTCCGTAAGCAGGTTACTGTCTGACATTGCTGAGGCTCGGATTACCCTGGAGCCAATAGCTACAGGGCAAATGGGCAATGGCTATTGGGTCAAAGGACCGGGCTTCCTCTTTGGCATCCATCTGCTCAGCAGTCTGAAAAATACCTGCTTCTCTGAAGAGGACAAGGACTTTAGTGCGGGCCATGCAGCACCCGGGTCACCTCCAGGAGCCTTGGAGCTTCCGTTTACACCAAGTATCTGCCTGACACCTTCCCAGTACCCTGTCCCACAGGGCTAAAAGGATGGGACAGTTCAGCATTGAGGTGGCACGAGGCCGGCACAGCAGGACTGAACAAACCGGAGTGATTCCTAGAGGCGGGACCCTTTTGCCTGCACTCCCAGACCTCAGTTGCTTTTCTAATAAGCATCCGATCGCGGCACTGTGAACATGCTCCAAGGTGGTGCCGTGCTGCCTGAGCTGCCACACCCCAACGTCTGTGCAACTTTTCAGGAAGCAACTGAGACGTTCCGGGGGAAACTATAAATCTAAGCCATTTCTGGCAGCGGTGCACAGCCTTCTGAGGTTGGGAGACAAGACCTAGTTTGCATAGACCGGTTACCCTAGAAAGATCTAAAGGAGCCTAACAGCAATCTGAAAGTCACCTTTCAGCTTTCTAAAGAACGTGGCCCAGAGAGTTCCTCTGCTCCGCTCTCAGCAGAGTATGTGGGAAGACTAAACATCAGCACTTGGACCTGGAGCTCCTGAGATCCATGCTGCTTCTCACTATTGGTCCAAAGCAACACATCCCACACAAGTGAGACTGCACTGAAGAAAGGACCTGGAAGCCAAAGGTCACAGTTCTGAGCAAGGGCTTAAATCAAGGAGCAATCTCCAGGCCTGGTGAAAACCTTTTTTATTCATCTGCTGCTGGGGATCCAGTACCCCAGGCTTTGAGTAGCCTAAAGGATACCTCAGAGCCACCTCAGGGCCCAGGGCAGCTGCATACAGGACCCTGCTGCCCTGATGGCCCATTGGTCTCAGCCTACCTGGGTCAGCCGAGGGTCCCAGTGTGGGCGAGAGGAGTCAGTCCAGCACTGGTCCTTTGCATCCGTGTGTGGCTCTGGGCAGAGGCTTTATCAGCTCTTGTTCTACACTAGCTTTTCAAGGATGTTTGTATGGCAAAGAGCCTTTTAAGACAGGGATCATATCTGCCAGGCCAGAGGCAGGTTTGTGCTTGCTGCTTAGGATAATAATAACAGTGCTTCCCTCTGTGACAGTGTGGATGGGTTTGTGAGCTGTGCCCCTTGAAATATGGGGATCCCCAGGCATCAGGCACAGGCAGCTTGAGTTCATGCCTCCACTGTTGGTCACAAATAGCTGGCTGGTCTGGGGCAGCCCCTCTCCTTCCACTTCTGTCCAGTTTTGCCCCCTCTGTGAGACCTGGCCCCAGGGCCCTGTCCCCCGGCATGGCCCAGCACCTCTGCTCCCAGTGGCCCTGTTTACCTTCTAACTCACTGTGCCAATGACTTGTAATAGGAAGGCGGTTTATAACCCATCCTCCCTCCTGAGGAGGTCAGCTCTATCAGGACAGAACTTTGCTTCATTGGTTTGTGTCCTCAGTTTCCAGAGCAAGGCCCAGGAGGCACCTGTCCACAGCTGTGAAAGAGAAAATAAGGTCTGGGTATTCCGAAGCACAGAGACCCTCACAGGAGACTTACACCCACCACGTGTGCAGCATCCTCTGGGCCTGCCCTACACCAGCCCTGCGGCCAGCGGGACCGGCAGGGATGCCACGCCAGAGCTGGCTGCCATGCTGCGGGTGATAACACCCTGCACCTGTGAAGTTGTGCTAGGCCAATTTTCAGCGTTCATGTGCAATGAATACAAGGTGTGATCACAAAATCCAGAGACGGCTGAAACACAGAACGAATTCATTACACTAAAAGACACACTGCCACGAATCCCCTCAAAATCCTCCCCTTCACTTTGGGCACATTTTCCCATAGTTCCTGCCGCTTGCTGAAGCAGCTCTGGAAGGCCGCCCCCCTGTCCTGGCTGCCCCAACGCCTTGCCCTGATTCAAAATAGTTCATATTCGTGGTCATTTTGACTTTGGAGAAGAGCCGGAAACCACACAGCGTCAGTTCTGGGGCATAAGGTGAACGAGGACAGAGTCACGTTTCTGAGAGATTGCCTTTTCGTTCAGGTGGGGCTCAGCAGCAGCGTTCACCATATTTCTTATCATAACTTGGAAAGATACTAAGAAAGAGGACTTCTAGAACTGCTGCAGACGCTGGCCAGAACAACGGGATAAGTGCGTTCAAAGCAAGGAGGAAGATTTTGAGAGGGGTTAGTGGCAACATGCCCTTTACTGCACTGAGGTCTCTTTATGTATACATACGCCACATGTTTTGATCAGTCCTGGTATCGCAGACTGTGCAGCACTCAACAATAGCAAGCTAAGTATGAGTGCCCCCAGCTCCCCGCCCTACACTCCGACAGGATGGACAAGGCCCAGCTTAGGTCACTAAGCGGAGCCCCTCAGTTTCTTTGCAGTGAGGCGGGGATGTTTGTTTTATTGTTGTTGTTCCCTTTCTCTTCTCAACCTCTTACGTTCAGCAAAAATTTAAACTTGGAAAAAGTGACTTTGAGCACACGGCAAGAAGCTCTTGTTTCATCTCCCAGAACAAAGCTGAGAGCTCTTTGTCCCAAGTATAAGAAGAGGAGACCAAGTTCTGTCTCAAAGAGAAACCCTCCCACGGGAGATAAGCAGCCAGGATACACATCCGTTTGTGTGTGTTGGGTGAGGAGATGCGG